ACACACCCCAATATATACCAACACACACCAATATACACCAAACACAAACCCCACATACAACACCACTAACACCAACACACACAATATACACCAACACACCACAATAAAAAAATACACCAATATACACCAACACACACCAACACACCACCAATATACACCAACACACACCAATATACACCAACACACACCAATACACACCAACACACACCAATATACACCAACACACCACCAATACACACCAACACACACCAATATACACCAACACACCACCAATATACACCAACACACACCAATATACACCAACACACCACAATACACACCAACACACACCAATATACACCAACAACAATAATACACCAACACACCACCAATATATCAACACACACCAATAACCAACCACACAAACACACCAACACCACCAATACACACCAACACACACAATATACACCAAAACCAACAATATACACCAACACACCACCAAATACACACCAACACACAACAATAACACCAACACACACAATATACACAACACACACCAATATACACCAACACACAAAATACACCAACACACCACCAATACACACCAACACACCAATATACACCAACACACCACCAATACACACCAACACACACCAATATACACCAACACACCACCAATATACACCAACACACACCAATATACACCAACACACACCAATATACACCAACACACACCAATATACACCAACACACTACCAATATACACCAACACACACCAATATTCAACACACACCAATATACACCAACACACCACCAATATACACCAACACACCACCAATACACACCAACACACACCAATACACACCAATATACACCAACACACCACCAATACACACCAACACACACCAATATACACCAACACACACCAATATACACCAACACACACCAATATACACCAACACACCACCAATATACACCAACACACACCAATATACACCAACACACACAATATACATCAACACACAACAATATACACCAACAAACAACAATATACAACAACACAACAACAACACAAACCACAACACCAACCAATACACACCAACACACACAATATACACCAACACACCACCAATACAAAACCAACACACACCAATATACACCAACACAAAATACACACCACACACCAATACACACCAATATACACCAACACACCACCAATACACACCAACACACACCAATACACACCAATATACACCAACACACACCAAAAAACACCAACACACCACCAATACACACCAACACACACCAATATACACCAACACACACCAATATACACCAACACACACCAATATACACCAACACACACCAATATACACCAACACACACCAATATACACCAACACACCACCAATATACACCAACACACACCAATATACACCAACACACCAATACACACCAACACACACAATATACACCAACACACACCAATATACACCAACACACACCAATACACACCAAACACACCAATATACACCAACACACACCAATATACACCAACACACACCAATACACACCAACACACACCAATATACACCAACACACACCAATATATACCAACACACCACCAATATATACCAACACACACCAATATATACCAACACACCACCAATATACACCAACACACACCAATATACACCAACACACACCAATATACACCAACACACACCAATATACACCAACACACACCAATACACCCACACACAATATACACCAAACCACACAATATATACCAACACACCACCAATATATACCAACACACACCAATATATACCAACACACCACAAATACACCAACACACACCAATATACACCAACACACCACCAATATACACCAACACACCACCAATATACACCAACACACACCAATATACACCAACACACACCAATACACACCAACACACACCAATATACACCAACACACACCAATATACATCAAAACACCAACACACACCAATATATACCAACACACACCAATATACACCAACACACACCAATATACACCAACACACACCAATATACACCAACACACACCAATATATACCAACACACCACCAATACACACCAACACACACCAATATACATCAAAACACCAACACACACCAATATATACCAACACACACCAATATATACCAACACACACCAATATACACCAACACACACCAATATACAGGTGGAAATAAAAAGAGAGGAGGATGAGAATTCCAGAGGAAAGCAAACGAGGTCGAGTGGAAAGAGAAAAGAATCGGCGAAATGGGCCGAAGTGAACGAATAAAGAAGAGGAAGGGGAGAAGGATGAGAGAGTCAGTTTTCAGCCACGTCACTTTCTCATACCAACTTTTCACGTGTCATTCATTCATCAACGTTAAAACGTGATAGTTGGCAGATAGTTGTGGTGTAAGAGGAACCACACACTGTGGGCCATGCTGCTGTAGGAAATGAAACACACCGTGTCACGTCACCTCAGCGTGGATCCCTGATGCTCCTGTGACCAGGTTCTCACTCTCACTCACTTCAGTTTTACCCCTCACAGGGTGCGCTTATTTAAACACAGGGCAGAGAACAAAGCCAGCCCTGTGATCACGGGAACCTTGTGATCGATGTCTAACATGTGACGAGGGCTTGTGATCGCCATTAGTGAAGCTAAAACACTGAACAAGAGAGAGAGAGAGAAAGAAAGAAAGAGAGAGGGAGAGAGAGAGAAAGCAAAAGAGATTGAGAGAGAGAGAGAGAAAGAGAGGGAGAGAGCGAAAGAGAGAGAGAAGGAATGAGAGAGAGGAGAGAAAGAGAGTGAAGGAGAGAAAGAGAGAGAGAGAGAGCGAAAGAGAGAGAAAGAGAGAGAGGGAGTAAGAGAGTGAGAGAGGGGGAGAGGGAGAGAGAAAGTCATCCTGAGTGTAGTCTGAAATATATACACACCAACACTGTGGTCTTGGGTGATTATTAGAGATGATTTGAGCCATTTCTCCTTTTTTTTCTTTACTCCTCGTGTATGTGTGTGTGTATATATGTGTGTGTGTGTGTGTGTGATACTGAGAACAACATGTTTGGCGCAACGTGTTCAGCAAGTACCAAGAAACAGTCTATGCACAGTAATTACACACCTTTACAACACACACACACACACACACACACACACACAAAAGAACCCTCATGCAAGAGGGTTACGCACATAGGCTTCTGGGTAACTGGGCCAGGAATATGTTTGTAGCTTAAAACCATCAGGTTTCTTAGAATCATAGGTGTATGTACACACACACACACACACACACACACACACACACACACACACACACTCTCTCTCTCTCTCTCTCTCTCTAGTCACTGTAATAGCTCAACACACATTAACGCTACAAAAAGAAGGCTGTTTTTTATTTTTTCAGCGTGCGTCACGTTTGCAGCTCTTTTTAACATCAACGACACAAACACATTCAACTCCGGCCTCAGGGAGAGAACCTCTGAAAGACATCCCCGATCATCTCCGTCATCTCTGCTGAAGCCTCTGAGTCTGCTGAGATCATTCACACATACTACAGACACACTGATGTGTACACCATCCCATCGAATACCCACAGATAAGTACCGGTTCACCAGAACACTGTTTATAAGCCAGCATTCTGAACTATACTTGAAGGGAAGTACGCTAGGTCCACTTATGAGTTTGCTAAATACTCAGGTAGTGTACTTATTTAAAGTTTTCACTAGGGTCAAAATCTCTATCGGTGTAGAAATATTTGAATCGTATTCAAGACGTCGTCTTGGCGGATAATTTTGCTCATTTGATGCATTTTATTTATATCTCATAATAAGAAACACTCGATCAATTCCACTGTATTTAAAGTGTTTTCACTTGCTAAGATGAGAAATTATTAATTTTATTTTTTTTTGCAGAGAGCAAATAATAAATAAACGCTGCATTAGAATCATACACTCGCGACAGGATCGGATTTCATCCTTCTAATTCTCCATGCAGTCGCTAAACTCACTTCTTTATTTACATTTGAACCCTGAATTACCCGCATTTGGTTTCTTCCTTCCTCTTTTCTAATCAGCCCACCCCTCCCCCACCCGGTACCCTCCCCCCATTACATACCATCATTTACTGTTGCTTTCTTACATAAATTCTTCTATTGGACGACACTACCGAATCCGCTACGGTACGATCGGATAGTGGACGACGCTACCCGCACGAACTTTACTTACGTATTACTTATCTTCTCGTTCTTCCTTTCTTCTTTCTTGGCCGGGTCACATGGTGTGTATAGTAATACAGTGTTCTCATTTTCAAAATGGCGGTCTGTTTCTTATTTTATTTTTTTTAAACCCCTGAACGAATACAGCAGAACCGTCCAGAACAGATAAATGGAGGAAACCGGGTTCTCCGGTTTCCTCCCCCAGTCCAAACACATGCATGGTAATCTGATGGGCGTGTCTAAAGTGTCCGTAGTGTATGAATGGGTGTATGAGTGTGTATGTGATTGTACCCTGATGGACTGGCACCCTTGTATTCTAATGGATTCCACTACAAAATAGCATTATGAACCATCAGCTTTTAACCATTAAAACCACTAACAAATTACATAGTAAGACGTACCAAGGACACGGTCCTTAATGGTATCCACTAGGCATAACATCCCACCAATAGAAGCTAACTAATTACCAGTAGAGACCCACAGGGACCATTACAATTCCCATTATAGCCATTAAAACCATTACAAATTCTATGAGGATCTCATATGAGGGTTTTTTTTCCAGCAGGGTTAGAGCAGAAAAATCCCCAAACTGTGCTGAAGATCAAAGGACACAGTTTCAGTCGGACAAACCGCAACTTTAAAACTTTAAAACTGACATCAGTCAACACTATCCAGCCTACTGATCTATTCTGTTATATAAAACCCGCTCTGTTTTTATTAAAAAACAACCTTCAATCACGTTATGACCTTATTACACAAAGCACTATTGGTGAGGGGCGCACGGTGGTTTAGTGGTGAACACGTTCGCCTCACACCTCCAGGGTCCGGGGTTCGATTCGGGCCCTGTGTGTGCGTAGTTCGCATGTTCTCCCCGTGCTGCGGGGGTTTCCCCCGGGTACTCCGGTTTCCTCCCCCAGTCCAAACACATGCATGGTAGTCTGATGGGCGTGTCTAAAGTGTCCGTAGTGTATGAATGGGTGTGTGAGTGTGTATGTGATTGTACCCTGATGGACTGGCACCCTGTCCAGGGTGTAACCCCGCCTCGTGCCCCATGCTTCCTGGGATAGACTCCAGGTTCCCCCGTGACCCTGAAAAGGATAAGCGGTAGAAGATGGATGGACTATTGGTGGTGAACGGCGCCCCCGTGTGGCTGCATGTAGTCGGTGCACTTTAAAAGAACAGCAGAATTTCTCCAGAATTTCTGTTGAATAATGAATGAATGAATCAATGATAAAGTAGGTAACATAGTAATGAAAGGTCATTGATATATAATTATATTTCCTGTCGTACATTTTTCAAATCTTAACATTTCAGGTGCAAGGTATTTATCTTCACACGTGTTAATCCTACACATGGACAATCGGTTTACTTTTTAATAAAAGTGATATTTAGGGGAAAAAATCCATATGACGTGCAAATTATTAATAATAATAATAATAATCATTTATTTTTATTATTTTAAAAACCAACAACAACAAACCTATAGATTCTGGATATGTTTTTAATGAATGCATGAAAGAGAAAGAGAAATGGTAAATAATACGAAATAAAACAATAACATAGTTTAGAGCAACTGTAGTGCAGATTGGAGCAAGAAAGCAATATGGCAGGAACATAGCAAATAAAATAAAATAAAACTCGTTCAGTATAACAGTTATAGATATTAAGCTATAAACCAGGACTCTGTAAAGGGCTTGTATTTGTATTTATTTCCTTTTTGTTCAATCGTGTATATATATATATATATATATATGTTTTGTTTTGTTTTAAAATTACAAATGAATCTTTACAACACAGCACTGTTGAATCCTGGATTCTGATTGGTCAGAAAGAGTTGATTAGGTTTCTAGCAGCTCTGACAGGTAGTGCAGGTCTAAAACGTTTCTATAGCAACAGCCCGTCCACGGGGACTTTGTACTGTACCCGGATTAAAACGGAAATAATCGACGTCGCGGCGATTTCAATAAGGAGACTTTTATACAACGTATGGAAGGAGTCTCCAGTCTCAGAGGTACGGAGGTGTAACGTGAAGTTTCCCGACACGTTACGAATGTTCCTAGCTGCTCTAACGTAAGCGAGGACAGGAGCAAGTGAGGACGTTCGCGCAGCATTAGAGGTATTCGAGGAATGAAACGCTCTAGGAAGGCAATCTGGGTCTGTAGTGGTGTCTCCGCTCGGAAGGACAAGAATCACTCGACGCGCTCACGTCACGTCTAGCTCACGTTTTTTTCCTACCGCTAGCATCCTGTGCGGAACGAACGTGTGCGTGAAAGACGGATTTATCTCATCCTGCCATCAGAATCAGTCGAGTGTGAGAGGTGGAAGGGGGAAAAAAACAGGAGAGACGTTGGATTGAGGTGGTTTATTGGAGTAAGAAAAGTCAACAAATTGCACGCCACACACACACACACACACACACACACACACACACACACTCCATGCTTAGAGACATTTCAACAGCAACAGATGTATTAGTGATGTGCGACCTCAGCTTTTCCTGTTGGCTCTTTGTTCACTGTAGTTGTGTGTGTGTGTGTGTGTGTGTGTGTTTGGTTCAGGGAGCATGCACGTGACTGATGGACTGTAAGAGCACGTGACAGTTCGCACCTTGTGAAGAACGCTCCGAGTTCATGCACGTAAGTTCACTGAAGTTACACCGAAGTACTGAAGTCACGGACACGTACGAGGAGGTGGGGTCACGTACGAGGAGGCGGGGTCACGTCCGGAAAAAAAACATGGCTCTTTGTTCTTTGCTTCTTTTTTTTTTGTGCGTTTTTTTTTTTACAAAAAGAAAAATGAATGAAAGAAAGAAAGAAAGAAAAAGTATTTTCATCTTTTAAGATGAACAACAACAACAACAACAAAACAAAAAAACAAAACAAAAACAAAACAAATCACTGCTCAGGGGCGAATACTGGGATTCAGTTCACAGTCTCTTCATCAGCATCATCATCATCATCATCATCATCCCCCACAAAAAATATAAAATACACACACCAAAGACGAATCACTGAAAACCAACCAAAACAAACAAACAAACAAACAAACAAACAAACAAAAACCAGGATATAAAATGAGATCAGTGCTAACACAGGTTTCTCTACCGCTTTATAAAATCTCAATCAATTCCATTTGTGCTTTTTTTTTCTTTCACCAATGTGTGTTTGCTGCACGAAAACTGGAGCTTTCTTGAACCGTTCTGCTTCCTGCTTCCTGCCAGTCAAAGAAACCGTAAGTTTGGAATCGGTAAGATTACGTTCCACAGAAGAACGTCCGTCGCACCGGTGTGGAACGATGTGAAGGTGAGTAAATGATGACAGAAGGTGACGTGACGTGACGTGACGCGACGCCTGCGATTCCTCTTACACCACCGTGATCTGACGATTTTTTTTTTTAAATCTATTACCGAACGTTACACTTTTTTATCCGTTTAGAGTTACGTTTGCGTGTTAAGGAACGTCGGCACGGCACGCTAGTTCCTGTTGTCACGTACGTTTTAGCGTCGTGCCCTCGCCGTGCAAAACCGATCAAATCCATCCGAGTGTTGTCTGATCACGCGCTGCAATGGAAGAGATTAGTCGTGAGGAAAACCTGACCTTTGGACAGGGTCTGTACCGCAGATTGGCTTCACGGCGAGAATCAGCGCGGAATCTGGAAGATTGAATCTCGCAACGTACTGAACATGGACGAGGCCCCGGAAGAACACTCCGTTATCCAGTTCACGCACGGCCGAGCGAACTCGCGATATTCTGAGAAGCTCGGAATCGTTCGACATGACAGCGGGTGGTTTACGCGGGTTTGACACGCGTTCGGGGAAAAACGCGTCCTTCGATTCACGTGCGTCGAACGCGAGTACAGCTGAAAGGTCTCGTTTGCCGCGAGTGCGATTTCGCCGGTCCGAGGAGTTTTCTCCAAAAAATAAGTTGCGATTTGAAAAGAAAAGAAAAAAAAAAAAGCCGCCGCAAAAAATCGAGCATTTTTGCCCGCGACAATCTCAAAAACACCTCGTGGACAGACCGAGCATTTCCACTGCTGGCCGTGTTTACGGCTTTTCACGTCCACCTTCCCGAATCCCCGGACCTCTGATTCTCATGCCTGCTCCTGTGCTTTGACCCCGCCTATAAATACAGCCCACGGATCCCCCGCCGCCGGATCCCTTTTGATTCCCTCTTATTCCGAAATGAAAAAAAGCGTGCCGCGACTCAGGCTCGTGTTAGCTACACCCTCTTTCCATTAGTGACCCATTAACGCTGCCTGGTTCTGGCTGGAGGGCGAGAGAAGGAAGGACGGCGGTGGTGATGGGGGTTATACACTTGTTAAAGGAAAGGAAAGGAGAGAACAAAAGAGTCGTGCCGAGTGGGCCGTCGCCGCGGGCTCTCTCCGGACACCGTATTCACAAGCGGGCTTTTAATTAGGGCTCGGCGAATAGAGGCCCTTGTGAAGTGTGTGTTCCGGATAGGGCGGCTTTTGTTTGAGACACACACACACACACACACACACACACACACACAGAGATGCGAGGTCTTCGGGAGATTGTGCTCTAATCTCTCTTACACCATTTTATATAATCAAATAAAACCTTACGTGTCTGTGTGTATTACCCATAATGCACGGCAGGACGTCGTCACCCTACATGCCGTGGTTGTATAATGAATTTAAGCGAGCAATGTGACCTGTAGCGTATTTCTTATTAAAATCGTATTTGTTTACACTTTACAGATTAAAAAAAAAAAACCCCATCAATAGTGGGACGGCTCAGGATGACGCGAGACGAGCGAGACACGAACACGCTAGCGACGCCCGCGACACGTAAACGAAACATTCTCTTTACAACGTCAACCTGACGTGGAAGAATGTTTGTGTTCACGCCAGCCCGCTAGTTTCCGAATCACGCCGCTTGATAACGTAATAACGATCTTCTCGAATCGTAGGTCTACCGCTAGAGCATCTTCATCCTATAACCCACAAAAGACAGACGCGTTATCACACGGTCTGTTACAGGATTCGGATCGGATGAAAAGGCCGCTGAATCGGACCGATACGGACCGCTAACCATTAGCCGATTAGCTAGCTAGCTGTCAACGGGACGTGCGTGGGATTTGTGACGTGACTCTAAATGATACAAGCTTCCCCGAGGAAAACGGCGAAGATGCGATGCCAAGATGAAAGAATAGCGTTACAGAGTTTGGCTGAACTTTGTACGTCGGATTAGCCCACTTGCTGAGGCGAGGCGTTTGCTCGCGGCAGCGTGACTCACGTGTCCTTGAAGTCGCGGTCGTTAATCGTGTTAATAACGTTAATCGCGTGCGCTTCAGCGGGAAGGACGAGTCGGCGTCTAACTTGGCAGAGCGCTTTGCTAACTTCCACCTCAGGAATCGCTGGCAGGCTTGAAAGCAATCACATTAAACAGGGCAGCGAGTGCAGATGAGAGAGAGAGAGAGAGAGAGAGAGAGAGAGAGATAGAGAGAGAGAGAGAGAGAGAGAGATACGACCGTCTCGTCCCTGATGTGCCCCGCCGAGGATCTCCTCGCTCCTCTTGTCATCACATTAAGAGCTGAGATGCACTCAGGCTAATCAGGCTTGTGGCGCTTAGCGCTAGTGCGAGAGCATGCGAGAGCGAGAGCGTGAAAGAAAGACAGAGAGAGAGCGAGAGAGAGAGAGAGAGAGAGAGAGAGAGAGAGAGAGAATATATCATGGCTTGATAGGCAAACACCGAGCTCAGGCTATATTAAAGAAAAACTTCAGAAAATAATTTCACGTACACAACCTTCTCACTTATTCCCCTTACACCTAAAATGTAGCCGATTAGCCAAGCTAACAAGTAACAGAATAAAAACACAGCCTCCTCTGGAAT